TAAATTACACAATATCTATTTACCTGGTAACAGAAAGCATGATTCAGACTAACGGAGTATAAATGAACCAATATATTTATCACTGAAGTATGTGTTAGATGTTTCATACAACCCAGTTATTTATCACATTTTGATAAGTTACCAATCTGTCCACTGTTAAACATTTTTTATTGTACTGTATCACCCTCCTGTCTACTTGAGAATATTTTATCGTAACGTTACAAGTCTAAAGACCCCTTTTTAAACTGTTCAGATTTATACCAGGGGCGTAGCTTCCATAGAAAGAAAAAGCCCGGGCTTACACATAAAAAAATCCGTGCATAGAATATGTCGGACAAAATTACAAAACTAAGGTTGAAAATAAATATCAGGGATTGAAGTTTGTTGTTAAGTAAATAATAATAAAAAAAAAAAACTGTCTCAGAAAACGATTCAAAACATCTTTGAAATCATGAAATTCAGACCCCTCGTCTGGGCTTACACATTTCTGCTGGGCTAGCTACGCCCCTGTATACAATTCTAGGTTATCTGAAAGATGTTGGTCTATATCATAGGACATGACTTACAATTAAATTTTTTGTGATAATATAACAGCATTTATCTCTTACCTATTAGTTCGTTTGAAGTTATTTCCTGTTGGATCACTGTGCTTGTCACTAGGTAATGGCCCTAATGACCTTTTATGTGTTGACGGGACGTTAAGAATGTAATAATAATAATAATGAAGCGCCTGGTTTTACATACATATATCTGTATTTCGGTTCTTACCTTTTCAGATGCCTTGACAAATCTTTATTTTGTCGACGTTTTGTTAACTGACGTTTTATTTTTTTGGTGAATTTCTCAGCATAATATCGTGTCATACTTACGTTAATGACGATAAGTATTTCTGTTGACTATCACATAATCTTTGTGATTCAGCAATGTAGGAAAATCGGTTGAATATCACACAATCCGCACGGTTAGTAAGTATTTTATAAATACAGCTGTTGGATCATTAATTAACCTATATCTATACATAGCAATATTATATGTCTCTGTCTATGCAGATCGCTTTTCTTACTGAAAAATATAAATCGGCTAAAGAAAACAGAAAATCATTCACAAATGCAATTTTGCAAAAACGAAAAATAGTTTGGATTGAAGTTAGCAGTATCTTTGTTTTAAATCCGTGAAAAATATTAACTGATTTTAAAAAATGGAATCTAGATGGAAAGTCTTTTACAGAGTTGTCAATCAATTATTATCAAAAGAAGAAATTGACATTAAAACAACACTTAATGTCTTTAATGAACTCATTGTCGTTGTAGAATATGCATTAAACATCTCTGTTCATAAGTATAGTACATTTATCTTGCTCATTATTAAAATCACTTGATGGTTTATTCATTTATAAGAAGTAGTACATTTTAAAGTCAACAACTCGTCGGTGTTTTCAAGTTGTATAACACATACAGTTAAACCTTGTAAGTATTACATAGTGCGAGCGATAGGATGTGTCAAGATATCATGGTTAGTTAGACTGATAGGCCTATGTCGCTGAAGTACAAAGAAATAAAATAATGTGGACAATATTGATATCGTTATACATAGAAAATCAGAGTTCATCCTGACCAAAACAAAACTATATCACACTTTTGTTACATGTCATCGATTGTGTCATGTGTGCTAAAGTCCTGAGATACTTTATTTGCCTTTTTCGGGCATGAACCGAAGGCGCTTAAAATCTGCTTGCTAGAACAACACCGAGACATGAGCGGAGTCGCAAAATTCTGAATATATATGATTTATGATTTTTTTTTCTTATTGCTGGGACGGGTTTTGAGGATGAAGGCAACAAAAACATATCGTAAAATAAGGTCCATGGAATACTATATTTGCCTATATTGCATGTTTTTTTTATCATTTTACCTTAGTCCATGATTTTGAAAAAAAATATATTATAGTAAAATATGTATATCATGAGGGTTTTAGTTGCATTTGTTGTACTTACAATAAATACTCACTAATACACAGCACCCACATCAGTTTGGGATAGGAAGATTATATAATAAATCTGGAATAAATACATCATAAATACAACCAAACAAAAATGAACGTCACGTGACATACATCTCTTATCAAACACGGTGAAGCAACGTCGGTCGGATTTCAATGACTGGTTCACGGATGGCTAAGCGGACAGCCTTGTCTTGAGTGTTCGACCTTGGCTGGTGACATTTGGCTGATTGTCTCGAGCAGAGGTTTAGTGTCTAAAACGACCCGTCAGCAATTCCAGTTCTTTGCAGACCCGTTCGTTTTAAGTCTGATTTTGTTACACTGCTTTCATATAAGTGAATTAAAGCTCTATAACAATGCTATACGAGGAACAATGTTGATAATGTGACTGTTTTTCCACGCTAACTGTTACTAGCTCTAACCGGAACAGTAGTGTACATGTTGAAATGATATTATGATATTGAAGTAACAACGGTTGTGGCGAAGCAGTGTAAAACTAATCATGCTTTAGAAATGAGATCCAGACAAAACCTAGCCTGTCCGTGTGAAGGTTCATCACTATAAAGGTCTCGGACTACCTCTTTCGGCTGAGGTTTTTAGACAATCTCGCCAGTTTACGATCATTCTGCGTCTCTAATAGCATCAAGAAAGTCTGCCGTTTGGTGATTTGTCCCCGCCGTTTAAAAATACCCATGACCACTGAGTTCTAGCAGACACATTCGTCATGATTTCCATTGTCTGAATATAGACATATGGTCCACCCTGTCTCATCCGTCTGTCTGTATCTAATTGTTCGAAAATAAAGTCTTTCACCTGCATGTGTCGTCATGCCGCCTCTGTACCTCCAAATCTCTGACATTCTAGTAAGTTGAAAAATCTCTCCACATCGCCGTTCACGTTGCTCTTTACAAGTCGTTTTATTCCATAATTACAAAGGAAGAGAAAGAAACTGTATTCATTGACATAAGAATTGTTTTCAACTCTCAATTCTGGAAACATATATTCTGAAACAGAATTATTTCGAGAGAGAAAAACTGCTAAAACTATACCTCATCGCAGTCGTAATGTATACTTACATCAACAGTAACACTATTTACATGAGATTTCTAATACAAGTAAAAATTAAATCGTGAACAGGTTTCATCAATACACCAAGCTAATCATATTCGCTTTAGTAACTGCAAAAGATTTCCATTTAAAAAATATTAACATGTCTTTGTATTTCTGCATATTCAGACGTCGTACACTGAGTATCAAAGTCCCTATTCTCCGTTTATTTTTATTTTCGTGATTTCAGTTGTTTTTTCCTAATTATTACCACGCATGCTCGGTATGTATATCGGAAGTCAAGTAGAGACCGTCTGACATACAGTATCGTTTTGAGAGGGGTTTTTTCATAACAAAAACAAACAAAAAACAACAAAAAAAAAACAAAAAAAATTGTCATGATCAGATTTAGTACTGGACTTCCATATTTAGTAATTAATTTCTGTCTCATTGTAAAACAGTTTTGTTCTGTCTACTTACCCTATCCTCCGTAAAAGTCGTAATGTTCATAAACATCTGTTCAAAATGTTTGTCATTTTTATCAGGATAATACTCTTAAATATTATTTGTTTCCATGCCTATTATGAGAAGGCTCAAACACATATTAACATAAAGAAAATAAACGAAAGTCCAGTATCATTAAAACATATTTTATTAGCAACTACATCGATATTTCTAATCAACAATGACATGTAAATTTGCATAACTAAAGGTTGAGTTTGATTGTTATTTGGGAAAAAATTGTGCTAAAGATTTATTGACAAATTGCTCAATTAGTATCCATGTTTACATTGAATTCCACAGAAATATGTCAACAATTACAAAAAAAGAAAGTCAACTCTATGTAATGATACATTATTCAAATTTGATTATTCAAATTATTCAAAAAAAATGAAAATTCATGAGGATGTGCTGCTCGCGAATTCGATTGTTTTACATACTAAGTTCATATATAGGTTAACTATAGAATAAAATTAACAAAAACCGAGATTCAAGGACGTATGTTTTGTATGTAGAGACAAATTAGTTTACCAACATAAAAATGTTTCTGGAAATTCAAATATAACGGTTATAATGGATTTTCACCAGAACACATTAAAACGATATCCTAGAACGACTAGTACTAATCCGCAACACTGTCTTTTTAACAACTAAGTGAAACGGTAAAATATACCCACAACCGTGCAAAATTTAAACATATTATCACCAGGTCTTGTTTATTCTACAAAGAAAACTATTGATTAATTATCTCTGTCTCTCTGTCTCTCTCTGTATCTGTCTCTCCATTTCTCTAATTATCAAGCACTTATGTCTGGTAAAGAAGATCACCGCACTACACAATAAATACATTTAAGGTATCGCAAGATTCTCACTAATGATTTCATTCCTAAAATGTGACGAAAAGTAAGATAAAATGATGAACATTTACAAGCGCCATTTATCACAGAATGCGTGTGAAACTTCACGCGTAACACTTAAACAAATCCATACATACTTCATATAGATTATGGAATAAATTTCAATAACAGTATTTATAATTTAAGAACATTACATTTTAACACCTTCAGAAACGTTCATTAATAAATTGAGCGAGTACTGCTATTTTTTAACATCTTCATCATCACGTCCCAAGTGTATATAGCACTATGTCGCAGTCATAGCACTACCATGGTAGCTGAATTCCGTACGGAATGGCCGCCAGTGATTACGTCATCAAAGTCTTCCAATACCAAAGTTGTCTTTAGAATCAAACACCACGTGTTTTGGAAGTCAATTATTTGTTATAAATTGCTGTACCCAATAGTTATCAGCTCATTGGATCAATGACATTTGATACCACAGAACGTAGGGATTAGAAATCAGGCCCTCCCAAATTGACACATCATGTTTTCTATTGCTGCCTCAAGTTACCAATGTTTTAACCCAACATTCCGTATTAGAGGGTGAATGCGTTTTCACAGACCTGTCACGTGTTGCGGTGACAGCGACGAAACTGTTTTTCCTGATTCCACCGGAACACATTCGTCAGTATGTTGCGTCTCATGGTGTCGCCGGAAGTCCACCTTGCGTTGGAAGGAGCGACCGCATTTGTCGCAGGAGAAGGGTTTGAATCCTGTGTGTTTACGACAGTGTGTGATGAGATTTGATGACTGACTAAAGGCCTTGCCACAGTGCGTGCATTTGTACGGCTTCTCTCCTACAAAATACAACAGAGACATACATTGAAGACTGATTATGCAATGTACATTTTCCTCAATAGAAAATAGAGCATAATCCACTTTCTCCATACACAGAAAAACAATCACAAAAAAAGCACATTTGAAATTTGGACAAAAATACTCCTTAGAAAAGAGCGTCCCCGTAACCACTAGTGTTAATCCTGTCCCGTTATATAGTGTCGTAGAATTACTATCGATTTCAAAGATTATAGTCACAAATTATAAATAAAACATTAAGCAAAAATAAAACTTGTGAGTCTCCTCCCAGATATCAATAAATAAGTGACGCTAGAAATCGTCGGAGAATTAATGTTAATACGTATCACTACCTATGTTTAAAAATTTAGGCCCTTAGCATCATTGACTAGTCCTGGAAGTTCCAATCAGCTGTAGGATACAGTTTAATTCATTATTTGGCGTTTCTAACTTTGCATTCACTTTTGTGTTTTTTATCATCATCCTTACTAGAAAAGAACCCGCAGTCATTTACAATCGTTTGATATATCTTACTACAAAAACACATGGGTCTGTTGTACAAGCAATTGCGATAGCTGCGTTAGTAGTGTTATCTATCGCTAACAGCATGAGCAAAATCTGTCAATTTTAGTTCAAGTTTATGCAGACTTATTTTACTTCATTAAGACTGTCACTTTAAGAAATGCACATGGTTGATTCTGTATTGGTGATTTGCTATTTCGTTGCGGTTCCGTGAGGCTCTGAGGTATCCTCAGTATTCCTAACGGGAGTGTGTTCCGCCTCATGTTGACTACGGAATTGACAGCGACAGGAAAACTCGTCGGTGCGGATTTACAATGTCAATCTCGTGTCTGATCACGGAAATTACCACAGTAATCGCAATCACATAAACACTACGAGCGACCCGCCTCCCAACTTATTGTGTTATACGGCGCTCTGACAAAGTTCACGCCTCAAATTTGGTTAAGAATTCAAACCAGTAGAGGTTAATGTCATCTTCGTCAGCATCTTTGATTTAATTATGACCGTGGTTCGGAAAACTTCGATTTATGCAGATATCAAAAATTAGCATTCTGATCTGGCAGCGTAAACAGAGTCGTGACAAATCAAGGGGACACAATTCAATAAGCCGATGGGACCATTACATCGATTGGCCGGGGACCAATCTCAAACTAGCTCTCTTACACGTTCTATTGGGACAATCAAATATCACATAGGGTTGAAACTGACCAGACTTGGTCGCCAAATGTCACATTAGATGCCGATTCTTTGATACTGACAGAGATGTGATTGATTAATTAGTTTACAGGCAAGTATTAGGTGTTCAATCCCTCCTAGTTTCGAATCATCATATCCTTCGTCCTCCTTCCAAGTCAGATCAATGTTACCTTAATATCCACTTTGATGAAGACAATTTACCCTCTCTAATTTTTGTTTCCTTTTCAAACATTATAAAATGGTGCTTGATTAAATAGTTTCTGATTAAATCGTGATATCATGGCCCCCGCCTCTAGTGGTATCCATCTTGTCAACTGTCACAAACACAACCGGTCGTTATATTAGTGTAATTCGTCAATGCTATTAGTGTAAGGTTAGCCATTACATACAACCAAGGTATTGATAAATTGGCGTTTAATTCAATCATTCAACCTCTCGAAACACTTTAAAAGTAAGCTGATGCAGACGCATTGCTAAGTTTTCTCTGTGTATGTGGAACAACAGTGTCAACACAGTATCTTAAATACCTTAAATATGCCATAAAAACAAAGATCTGACTGTGAATCTACCAACAAAACATCTGTTAGACATTTGTTGTTTGTTATGAAGGTTGTGAACTGTCATACATAGCGATTTCACCTACAAAGTTATACATATGTATGTAAGGACCATTTTACTACTGCAAAGATTTTCAGTACGTAATTGCAATTTTATAACTTGCATGTATTTGTTTGCTTACACGAAATGATGATTCTTAATCATTAAGTTTTGGATTCAATCAATAAATACCAGAGAGGTTTAGGAAAAATATTGACTTTATAATATTATTCCAGAACCAATAACAAAACCACGTGGTTAATAAAAAAAATAAATCATGCATGCATAATCACGTCGGGATTTTATAGTAGAATTTAGGAGAGACTGGTTCTCGATTTAACAACTACCAGAAAATTAATTTAATTTAAAAGATTAATCAAGTACATTCTTAGAAATGTGACAAATTATTTTGTTACTTTGCTTGGTGCTCGAGGATCGAATGAGTATCATGTTTGAAAAAAAAAACAAACATTATGTCATTTTGACAACTATCTCAAAGTTAGAGTTGTTAACATGTCAACAGTTTTTGAGGACAAAATCAAATACTCAAACCACCAAAATGCATCCCAATACATTCGGTAAGGAATTAATCAAGAGCTTTATTCTTGTGTCTGTATAGTGTATTGTTATAACATTGTCACTGTCTGAGTAGAACGCTTCTGTTGTATATATATTGTACATTTTACTGTCGACCACTTGTTAGAAGAGTCTTGTACTCAAAGTGTTATCGACTCTTAAATAAAGTCAATTATTATTATTATTATTATTTAACGCTATCTGTCTAATTCCTATGGTAGTGGCATGCGTTTAACCGTATCTGACTGATTTAATATATAATGTACTCTAACGATGTCTGATAGTACCTACAACATAATCAGTAGGTGCCAGGTAAAAAGTACTCATGCTTTTAACAATACCGAAAAATCACTGGACCGTATAATTTCATAAAATGACTTGATTTCTTATCGGATATTTTCCTAAATATCTAATCTTCTCCATTTCATACTTATTTCATATGAACTGATTGTCTTTAACCTTCATTATTTCACTATCTAGATGGAACTTCTCAGGCTAAGATTCTCAGTACCCTGAATAATACCGGGATCAGCCCGCCATATGGCACAATCATCGACCGGCTATGGTCCACTGATTACCATTCTGGATACACTACACAATAAATGACGATGGTTCCCTACAGCGTAACACCTTGACTTTAATTCTACATTAATTGGTAAGTTTTCCTGTGTACATCAGTAGAGACTGTGGGATTATTCTGTTTGACTTTCTTAAGCAGAGTACTACTACGTCATCCGATAGTCACACGACAAGTCTACCCATCCCCCTCGTATTCTGAATGGCAGTTTAGAATTTCTGAAAACCACCGTCAATCGTTTTAGAAGTCATGACGGCTATGTTAAAAACTTGAAAGTTTGGAAAAGATGAGTGGGTTATTTACTGGGAACGAGAGATGAGTGGGTTATTTACTGGGAACGAGAGATGAGTGGGTTATTTACTAGGGGGAGAGATGAATGGGTTATTTACTGGGAACGATATAAGACTGGATTATTCACTGGGAACGACAGATGACTGGATTATTCACTGGGAACGACAGATGACTGGATTATTCACTGGGAACGACAGATGACTGAATTATTCACTGGGAACGACCGAAGACTGGTTATTCAGTGGGAACGACAGATGCCTGGATTATTCACTGTGAACGACAGAAGACTGGATTATTCACTAGAAACGACAGATGATAGCTTTATTCCTGTGATGTATGTGTACGTGATAACCAAATAACTTTATAAGGAATAAAAAGTCAATTAGAACTTCAGCTTTGAAAATAATAAAATAAAATTTCCATATGATAAAGATATATATTTTTAAGAAGATCTAAATGTATTTGTTAATAACTTTTTTTGGAAAATATGTTCTTTATACATATCATCTTTATAATAGGTTAAGTGATATGCGATAATGAACATCAATAGGCTGAAAGTAATGACATAGAAACACTTGATTGAATCAAATAATATTGCCGTTTTAAATTCAATTTTTAACTAGCATTAGCCTCCAATTCATCACAGCGTAAGTCAGCATTTGATCAGATTATGTTGGGGAGGTAATTTGTGAGATATGACACCTGACAAATACAGTAGAATTGATGTACCTTGTGAAACTATGACGAGCATCAGGGGACACATATCGGGCCTAGCTGCTCATATCAATATAGAATCGATTCATTAAGGAGAAACAGAAAACTTTAATAACAAAACTACCTCAGTAAAATCTCGTTCATATTATTGTTTACCACTGACCTTAATCAAATTAAACTCTAGAAAATTCAAGCACGATCTCAGCGCTGGTATAGATGGTTCATGACAGAAAAAATGTTGTGTATTTCAATCTTAACTCATTTCGTATTTCTACTATTATTCAAATGTCCATTAATTTACAAAACGGCCGCCTAGCAATGTATTAAAAACAATTGATACATTTATCAAAGAGTGTAATTGTGACTGGAGGAATAAGTTGTAACAAAACTGATACATTTTATGTATCACAAAATATGCCGTAAAAATAATTATCATATTTTCTTTAAAATGTAAAGGAAAAAGAAAAGAAAAAATCCTGTCATTTTTAGGAGTGAAATAGTTTGTTCAAGTCGTTCTCCAAAACGCCTACATATTTGCACTATGTAGATTCAGTATAAGGTTCTTACTGAAAGTCTTTCCTTCGTTCATGAAATTGCCCTTTTATCGATTTTACGTCTGAAATACAATTTTCGGTAGTACCTTGTTGTCATCTGATAAGCATGAAATCAACCTAGCCCAGTCAATCTTGTCATCTTTGTCTAAAAGGTGATGATAAAAGTATAGGTTAACTAAACTAACATGTTAGGGACAAATAAAACGGGGAAATGAAACGTCCAGATTAATCTTAAAATAAATAAATAAATATTAATAATACACCAACACGTACATCAACCTGTACATCAACCTGTACATTAACACGTACATCAACTTTGGAGGTACATCATCACGTGCGTCAACCCGTACATTAACACGTACATCATTATGTACGTCAACCCGTACATCAACACGTACATCAACTTTGAAGGTACACCATCACGTAAATCAACTTTGGAGGTACATCAACCCGTACATCAACTTTGGAGGTACATCAACACGTACATCAACCTTTACATCAACACGTACATCAACCCGTTCATCAATTTTGGAGGTACATCATCATGTACATCAACACGTACATCAACTTTGGAGGTACATCATTATGTACATCAACATGTACATCAACACGTAAATCAACCTGTACATCAACATGTACATCATCACGTACATCAACACGTACAACTTGTACATCAACACGTACATCAACCCGTACATCAACCTGTACATCAACACGAACATCAACATGGACATCAACCCGTACATCAAATGCGGAGGTACATCAACCCGTACATCAACCCGTAAATCAACTTTGGAGGTACATCAACCCGTACATCAACTTTGGAGGTACATCAACACGTACAACACGTACATCAACACGTACATCGACTTTGGAGGTACATCAACTTTGGAGGTACATCAACCCGTCCATCAACTTTGGAGGTACACCAACCCGTTCATCAACCCGTATATAAACTCATAAATCAACTTTGGAGGTACATCAACACGTACATCAACTGCGGAGGTACATCAACCCGTACATCAACTTTGGAGGTACATCAACATGTACATCAACCCGTACATCAACCCATTCATCAACCCGTACATCAACCCGTACATCAACTTTGGAGGTACGTCAACCCGTACATCAACTTTGGAGGTACATCAACCCGTACATCAACTTTGGAGGTATATCAACACGTACATCAACCCGTACATCAACATGTACATCAACACGTACATCATCTTTGGAGGTACACCAACCCGTTCATCAACCCGTATATCAACTCGTAAATCAACTTTTGAGGTACATCAACACGTACATCAACTACGGAGGTACATCAACCCGTACATCAACTTTGGAGGTACATCAACACGTACATCAACCCGTACATCAACCCATTTATCAACCCGTACATCAACCCGTACATCAACTTTGGAGGTACATCAACCCGTACATCAACTTTGGAGGAACATCAACCCGTACATCAACTTTGGAGGTACATCAACACGTACATCAACAACGGAGGTACATCAACACGTACATCAACCCGTACATCAACACGTACATCAACCCGTACATCAACATGTACATCAACACGTAAATCATCTTTGGAGGTACATGAATATAAACCTAAATAAAGAACAGGATTCTGATATGACCCACTTTACGACGAACACAAAGTAACATAGCTTTACAGATAGAACAAAAGGGAAGAAAAAATGCAATAAAACACTAAACTCATATAGATAGTAAACAAATGCAGGGGGGTACTGTAAATAAACAAAACCAGTGACAGTGATTACAGTCGTATGGTATAAAGACCACAAACTGACTTAAACGGCAAACGAAGAATATTTTCAATATTAACAAATAAGCCTTATAAAATGTCCCTGTTTAGAATCTATTGTAAATACCTCAGTCTTATATAGAACAAATGTATATAAAAAATCCTACAGCGTTCGTCTTGGATGATAATTGAACTTCGGTCTAAGGCGAGACTATATATATTATATGTATAATTTAATTGATTACAACCTTCGCGAACTTTTTTTTGATAGTTGTTGTCACTGTTTACCTTTTTATTTCAAATTGTATTATTGCTGTTAATTGTTTCGTGTTCCTAACTTTTGTCATTGTTATTGATTTCTGTTTGTTTTGATGATTTTATTTTTAGCTGTTGCTGATATCATGTGACATGTGTTAATTTCATTGCTAAGTCTTCGTCGCTGTTATTTGTAGTATGTTATTATTGTTGTTTAAGTTACGGATTTGGATTTTTCCTAGTGTTGTAAGTCTGAGGTGTAAATGTTTCTGGTAACCATAGTACAGTATATATCCGGTTTGTAATTTATCTTAGTTATGGACTGTTTAATATTTTGGAGAACAGTTATAGTAGCTGACATTATGTCTCTTGTTATGTAACCAGAAATGAATCCTTTAAATTTGATATTCCCGGACGTCAGCCAAATCACTCCTACATTACTGTGTCCGAAATCTGAACTGTCCAAACATTGTTTGACGTAAATCTTATCACAGTTTCGCCATAGATCAAATTACTTCCATATCCAATTGGCCACTATTGGGCATTTCAACCTGACCTTGAACTTCAATATTTGGTGTATGAAATCAATATCGTAATCATTGCTTGGAAGATGCTCTGATAATTATTTCTGATTGTTTTAAATGTTCATTTGACAAACTCGGATATCAACTAGCCATTAGGCATCCGCCTGTCTTTTTTAAGTCACGTTTAAATAAGAGACATTTGGTGCATATACTAGTAACAAGGTCAGTTTGAAAGTAGAAATAACAAAACCAAAGCTGGATAACACTGAGAGAAAGGAAACAAAGATTGTTAAGTACCTGTATGTATGTAGGTATGTTTCTTCATGTCGGATTTCTGGTGAAACCTCTTTCCACAGTAAGGACACGGGTAGGGGCGTGTGTCGCTGTGTATGAGGAGATGTGTGGACAGAGTGGACGAGCGTTTGAAGCTTTTCCCACATTGCTGACATTGGAAGCTCTTTTCTTGTGTGTGAACCGCCCTATGTTGTGTCAGACTGACGGAGTGTCCAAACGTCTTATTACACACCTCGCATGCGTACGGTCGTCGTCCGCTGTGGGACCGTCGCACATGCACCTCGAGTCCGTGTGGAGTGCTGAATTGTTTCATACATTTCATACATTCGAAGGAACCTTTGACTAAACCAGTAACCTCGCCTTCTTCTGAATACTTCATCATATTTGGCAGGAATGGATTTGCCATGTCCTTCCGCTGTCCGAAGAACCTGTAGAGGCGCGGATCTGTCCAGAAGGACGCCTGGCCGTACGAGAAGAGAGGAGAGCGGTAGAACACTTGAGCGAACTGGTACCGGTACAAGTCAGACATGGTGGCAGTTTTGAGAGCGTTCTGGAGGGCCGCGTGCGAGGGTACGTTTATACCTGAAAATGTTATAATAATACTTGTAACGTTGGCATTTGTTTGTTGAAATAAATTCTTTATACTGTACATATGTATGTTTTGATTCTATATACGTTTTGTACAGACATTTCTTTGACAGGTAATTCGTTTCTTGATAGACATTGGTTAATAACACGACTATATGCTTTTAGAAAAAAACTCTTACATGATGGAACTTTGTTCGTGTGTGCTTGTTTTTTAATCGGCTCACACAGCCAAGGCCTGAATGCATTAAAGTTTGACCCCTCGAGTGACGACTGGCTTATCTGCCCTTGGTGGTTATCCTCTGTTCCGTCCGACATTGATCCACTTCCTGGAGAGAGTGATGACGTAGATTTTGACGAGTGAGTTGGTGACGGTGATCGCATACCGGTGTCGGTAGATAAATCTGTAAAATAAGAATTATACTATAATTAAATGTTTTCACACTGGCTATCCCTTAACAGAAAATTATGCTGTGGGGAATCAGCGACTTTTCGATGTAAATCAAATGATAAACAAGAATGCATTAATTATATTGAAATATGTATATCATATTATATCATAAGTATTAGATAAAGAACATGTTTTCATAAAAAATATGAATTAAATATTTTGACTAATTTAGCTTTAAGTCATTGAATCCCGATAACAAGCAATGCCCATGAGTATTTGGGGCGCCGTTTTATTACGATATGACATCGGCTAAAACCTGCATTATTTAAGTGATAATTCAGTTTACCGCAATATACGCGTTCCCGTGTAAAAGGCATCTCACCAATCCTTTGATTGACTTTTAATATGAGGACAATTATGGCGATAGATCATTCAGGTGTGGAGACTGATATAAATTATGACTTCAGTCGCCGCACCGAAGCATCGACAATACGGAGCCACGGTTCATTGGTCACGCAGATTCAGTCATCCCTGTTTCTTAATTTCACATTCGAATGAACATGCACACTTTAAAATGCACATCCCTAAATACATTTCCGATCGAAATATCAAGTGGCCTGATTAAAAGACTATAAATCACACAGTTAAATTTCTCTTTTGAAATAGAGACTTGTGTGTATTTCCTGGTCATCTTCTCGACAACAGGTGAGCGGCACAGAGAAACTTCCGGCAATAAAACGCGATTTATTTTAAAGGGCAGAAGCTAATGATCGTGTTGGGGATCTCGTTGTGATTGTCGCTTCCGCTTACAAAGATACAAACCCGGAAATAATGCAAAAAATACCACTTGGGATTCGTGTCCACTGAACACATGGTGCTGCTTACCAAAAATCTGTACAGATGTGATAGGAATGGCGAATCATGCTCACAGCACGCAGCGAGAATCATGTCGCATTTCTTATCAGATAAATTACATTTTTCTTAATTTTTTTTTTTTTTGACAACTTATGATTGAATTATTTATGGAAAATTTTGCAGTTAGATTTCTATGGCACACTATGAATACTGTCGGCGCCAATACAAACAACCCGACATTATACTGCGGATTTTCAGAATTGAAAAAAAGTTCGCAGTGGGTTTTTTATTATTACTAAATTATAAATGTATTATAAAATGTCAAGAAAACTTAAAAGTTTAAGACATTTTTTAATCATATTCATTGTATCAGTTTCCTAAAATTTCTTAGTTTGGTGATCAACGGGTTTGGTAGAACGAATACTGGTGTACGCGTGGAGTGTTTTATCCAACATTTGGCGAAAACTGGTTAGAACATTTCCGTGTACAATATTTATACGCGTTTGTAGACTGAAGACAAGAACTGTGTAAATAGACCATCTACATGGCTATTGGTAGATGTTTATAGATCACTATACTTATGAGTGATAAATGGCAGTCCCACAGGCTCAAATAATCGATAACCTCATATTAGGGGTTCAACGTTGGTAACGGTTGAATTTATTTTGAAAACAACATTTTTATACAAAATTAAGTCACAGAAGATGGTGACGATCTGATGAAGGTCCGCAAAATAAAATGCAGCTTTGTAAAGCCAGTAATTATTAATTTCATCTATGATCAAAGGAACGATGTTTTATTTATTGATTTTTATCACACAAATAAAAAGAAAATTTAGTAAAAATTCCGATTATTTTCAAACGGGATATAATCATTTTCAATTCAGCTGGAATTTAGAAAAGTGCAATTTATTATATATGATAAAGAGAGTGATATTTTTTTTATAAAATATCAAAGTGATAAATACGTCGTTAAATTTAGTTACATGTTAACGTTAGATTTAAACAATTATTGTATCAACGTTAAAGAAAAGGATAGGACGCAAGCTGAAATAATGCTAAATAGGCAGATTGAATAACGATGACGTATTGAGATGGGTTTTTTAAAAATAATATTATAAATTAATGATAATCATTTGATATGCGAATTCTTCGTTAAATATAAATAAAATAAATATCTTACATACATACAAACATGATGAAAATGCACATCTACAGATGATTAGTATCAAGAAATAATTTGATCAAATTATTAATACTGTAATGCAAGTATGTCAGTTAAAATTATGTCCATACAAAATACTTGATGCGTAAACTAAACAGCTGATATAAACAATATTCCATTCAATTAATTAGTTTTTCAATCAAATTTGATAACGAAAGAGAAAAACAATCTCAATAAATACGGAATGAAAAGTATTCAGATACATTTTATTTTTAACATCAAGATAAAGACGCTTGGTCACGTTCCCATTCTCTGTAAATATATAGAGGATTTTTCCATTCTAACAGCTACACTGTATATTTTGGTTAATGCAGAAACATAAAATCAAATTTTTTTCATCGCATTTAGATTTCAACATGTTTATAAGAACGCAGAATAAAGGCTAATACTGTTGGTCGAAATGTTTAACATGCACAAACAGTATGAGATAAAACTGAATTAAGGAGACACAATTAGACATTTTAATGAATTCTAATTGATAATTGCAAATAGTATGATGAATAGATAAATGCTAAATCTGCGGAAGAACAACAGGAGATACTTTGCCGACTTCCATGTAATAAAGAACTTCGTATCTTTTCCTTCTTCCCTTGTCTCCTCTAAATATACGTTACTTAAAATATTTTAATTGATATCGTGTTCTAATATATATTTCAAAATATGCCATCACGTGCTATCTGTTATTATTATGTATTGTAATGTTGGGAAAGGACATAATAAGATAGAAGAACTTGTGCCTAATCCATTTAATGTACTGACAGTAATTATGCTTAAATGAAAGAGTGACGTTTGGTAGATCTAGGGGAGAAAATACTAGTGTACCAGCAAAAAGTGAAAGAAGAAAAAATATCTCATGATGAACCATAAGTATTATAAAATACAAATATAGAAACAACAAAACGATACAAATTTTTCATAAAGCCATTAAAATCGCATTTGTCCCGGGGATATTGTTAATCAGGCGGAAGCGTGTTTTATAGAAATACATATCTATGTATAATCCCTTTTGTTAATTCGCCTATAAATCATGTATTTATACAACAAATTGGTGGCTGATTACAAATTAAATCACATTATATTTACGTGATTTTTACCTATAAACCAATCCTGGTTATATACAGCATTTTCTTTCTCGCACGGCTTTTAAAACGTCATGTTGTTTCAGTAGGATCGGGGATAATTCTAACACGTTTTTCATTTCTTTTTTAATCTAAATACACGACATCATATTGTAATTTTGAAATATTCACTGAAGTGAACATGAAACTCCATTGCTTCTAAACCAAGCAATAGAATCGGACTCAAAACTCCATATTCGTTTAATTTAATATTGAAAAACATGTGAATTTAAATGATAAATAATTACGTTTATGACTGTTGATGACGTCGATTTGTAAAATAGAAAAAAACATCCGGATTGATACCTGTTGAAACTGTATCTTTTATAAAATTTCTGTCTTGGAATGTGAATCTTAAATAGAGCATTTAAGTTAACACAACAAATATTAAATATGATACCATTCTTACATGTTTTTACATTGTATGAATAGAGTGTTTGTAGCCAAACTAAAGATCCTTTACGCATAAAGATAAATATTAAACAGATTAATATTTACTTACTGGTTGTGTATCATTGTAATGAAAATTTAGAATCAAATTAATCACAAAAACAAATAACTAATTCTAAATTCGTATAAATCAAATCAAATCTATATATTTTTTTCGTATGAAATATTGTAACTGTGAAAAATACCTTTTCTTCTTGGGGATACGATGGTGAAGGCACTTCTGTGTTGTGGGTCAACTGTGGTTTCACTCATGTTTTCTTCTTCTTTCTTAACCAGAAAGGATCGGGGCATTCCACTCAGGCAAAGTTAATATACTGTCACTAATATTATAGCATTGATGCGTGCATTTTCCACAGCACCGTTAGTAAAGTCAATCCACAAGTGCTGTCGGATCTCGGAGTGGAGTTATGAGTGATACATCAAGAAATTTAGATCATCACACACTGAAAAATAACACAGCAAATTTGTTAATAAAACTCGGTCCTGCATCTGTTACTTTCATTGATTATAGCGAGCATGCGCAATGTGCACTGAATTACACAGGTGTAAAAACTCTCACGGAAAATCTGGGACTGATTGGCGGAGAGTTGTGAACAGACCCGCCCACTTTATAATGAGATTACAGCTGGTCTCGGTGGTGAGATACGAGCATCTCGGCGAGGAGTGAATGGCATTCGTCAATCTATCCCCTGTGTCCAAATCTGAAGGGGAATTTTTATGGACCTTCATTCTCCTAGGAGAACCCGTTGTTTAATCTAACGATTTAGGTGCTGTATGAGGTAGGCTTGCCGGTCGGGTAGGGTTTGCGTCAGCTCAAGATCCTTCGTCACAACATCAGAGGCTTAAGTCGGGTTTTAGCTCTACTTCTATACCATAAAGCACAACGACAACACACATAATCTTTTACAAAATAACAAAATTATTTTAAGTAAAAATCACAATATATTTCCCCGTGAATCATGCACTGTATTAACACGCTATAGACATACTGCTAACACTGTCACTTGACACATATTTTAGCGAATTAATAGTAATCTGGACTACCTATCTAAATCCTTTACTTTATTTAAACATAATATAATAAAACTACTGACATAGTTACCTCTCAGATTAGATGAGTATGCAGTCAAAAATTACATTCTTTTAAATCAGCCGGAAAATGATATTTAGTGTCAAATTAACATATCTCGGATCAATCAACCGTTTGCGTGTGAAAATATGGCAGCATTACAATAGCGATTTTTAAACAAATGTAAAAAAAAAATGGGATTTATATATATCTATTTCAATTAATTATGATGTGTCGCGAAAAATACATATGTAAAGCAAAAAAGAAAACAGTATCACTATATATATATAATTTAAAAAGATAAAAACTTTGTGTATCGTGTATACAGAGAAAATATATATATATATGAATAATCCCAATTATAATACAGACGGACAGTATACAAATAAATATAAATAATTCACCACACACACACACACACACACACACACACACACACACACACACACACACACACACACACACACACACACACACACACACACACACACACACACACACACACACACACACACACACACACACACACACACACACATAAAGTACCATATGTGAGTTTAAATTTAAACACATTTCTATTTTCCTATTTTGGTTACAGCGATACAAATGTCTTAAAACATATACACACCTTTACTATAGGAATTCCGTGTAATATCCAAATCTAAACCTAGGTTCATAACCTGGTGATATCAACAGATCTAAGATACAATATTAACACCAAACATTTACTTTTTGTCCCGATTTTACAAAATGTCTCATCAACACATACCGTTAGGACTTTTTTATCTCGTAATTACCACGGAATTAGTAAAGTATATTACTGACCCCTAACCTACCATGTAATATAGAAATACCCATAGTATGTAATATTGTCTCCTTTAAAATAGTTATGTGAACTCGGATCGCGAAGTTACTGATCAGCCGCCTGGACTTTGTGGTGATTGTATAATAAGAAATTATCTATGGTAGGATTGACTTTTCCAATTTAATATATTGAATTTTCCAGGGATGTCGTTTACCTCCTGTTTGATATAGAATTTTCCAAGAATGTCTTTGACCCTCCTGTTTGATAAAGAATTTTCTAGGGATATTGTTTACCTCCTGTTTGATATAGAATTTTCCAGGAATGTTATTTACCCCCCTGTTTAATATATAATTTTCCAGGAATGTTATTGACCTCCTGTTTGATATAGAATTTTCCAGGGATGTTATTGACCCCCTGTTTGATATGGAATTTTCCAGGAATGTTATTGACCCCGCTGTTTGATATAGAATTTTCAGGGATGTTATTGACCTCCTGTTTGATATAGAATTTTCCAGGAATGTTATTTACCCTCCTGTTTGATATATAATTTTCCAGGAATGTTATTGACCTCCTGTTTGATATAGAATTTTCCAGGAATGTTATTGACCTCCTGTTTGGTATAGAATTTTCAAGGAATGTTATTGACCTCCTGTTTGATATTGAATTACCAGGAATGTTTTTGACCTCCTGTTTAATATAGAATTTTCCAGGAATGTTATTGAACCCCTGTTTGATATAGAATTTTCTAGGGATGTTATTGACCCTCCTGTTTGATATATAATTTTCAAGGAATGTTATTGACCTCCTGTTTGATATAGAATTTCCAGGAATGTTATTGACCTCCTGTTTGATATAGAATTTTCCAGGGATGTTATTGACCCCCTGTTTGATATAGAATTTTCCAGGAATGTTATTGACCCCACCTCCTGTTTGATATAGAATTTTCCAGGGATGTTATTGACCCTCCTGTTTGAATATAATTTTCAAGGAATGTTATTGACCTCCTGTTTGATATAGAATTTCCAGGAATGTTATTGACCTCCTGTTTGATAAAGAATTTTCCAGGGATGTTATTGACTCCCTGTTTGATATAGAATTTTCCAGGAATGTTATTGACCCCACCTCCTGTTTGATATAGAATTTTCAGGGATGTTATTGACCCCCTGTTTGATATAGAATTTTCCAGAAATATTATTGACCCCACCTTCGGTTTGATATAGATTTTTCTAGGGATATTATTAACCCTCCTGTTTGGTATAGAATTTTCAGGGATGTTATTAACCCTCCTCAGGGATGTTATTGACCTCCTCCTGTTTGATATAGAATTTTCCAGGGATGTTATTGACCCCACCTCCTGTTTGATATAGAATTTTCCAGGAATGTTATTGACCTCCTGTTTGATATAGAATTTTCCAGGAATATTATTGACCCCCGACCCCGCTGTTTGATATAGAATTTCCAGGAGTGTCACTGACCAACCTGTTTAATATAGAATTTTCCAGGAATGTTATTGACCCCACCTCCTGTTTGATATAGAATTTTCCAGGAATGTTATTGACCTCCTGTTTGATAAAGAATTTTCCAGGAATGTTATTGACCCCACCTCCTGTTTGATATAGAATTTTCAACGGATGTTGTTTACCTCCTGTTTGATATAGAATTTTCAGGGATGTTATTTACCTCCTGTTTGATATAGAATTTTCAGGGATGTTATTAACCCTCCTGTTTGATATAGAATTTTCCAGGAATGTTATTGACCTCCTGTTTGATGTGGAATTTTCCAGGAATGTTATTGAACCCTTGTTTGATATAGAATTTTCTAGGGATGTTATTGACCCTCCTATTTGATATAGAATTTTCAAGGAATGTTATTGACCTTCTGTTTGATATAGAATTTCCAGGAATGTTATTGACCTCCTGTTTGATATAGAATTTTCCAGGAATGTTATTGACCTCCTGTTTGATAAAGAATTTTTCAGGAATATTATTGACCCCCGAACCCGCTGTTTGATATAGAATTTCCAGGAGTGTCACTGACCAACCTGTTTAATATAGAATTTTTCAGGGATGTTCTTGACCCCACCTCCTGTTTAATATAGAATTTTCCAGGAATGTGACCCTCCTGTTTGATATAGAATTTTCAGGGATGTTATTGACCTCCTGTTTGATATAGAATTTTCCAGGGATGTTATTGACCCCACCTCCTGTTTGATATAGAATTTTCCAGTGATGTTATTGACCCTCCTGTTTGATATAGAATTTTCAACGGATGTTGTTTACCTCCTGTTTGATATTGAATTTTCAGGAATGTTATTTACCTCCTGTTTGATATAGAATTTTCCAGGAATGTCTTTGACCCTCCTGTTTGATATAGAATTTTCAACGGATATTGTTTACCTCCTGTTTGATATTGCATTTTCAGGAATGTTATTGACCTCCTGTTTGATATAGAATTTTCCAGGAATGTCTTTGACCCTCCTGTTTGATATAGAATTTTCAACGGATATTGTTTACCTCCTGTTTGATATTGCATTTTCAGGAATGTTATTGACCTCCTGTTTGATATAGAATTTTCAGGGATGTTATTGACCTCCTGTTTGATATAGAAGTTTCAGGGATGTTATTAACCCTCCTGTTTGATATAGAATTTTCAGGGATGTTATTGACCTCCTGTTTGATATAGAATTTTCAGGGATGTTATTGACCCTCCTGTTTGATATTGAATTTTCAGGAATGTTATTGATCTCCTGTTTGATATAGAATTTTCAGCAATGTTATTGACCCCACCTTCTGTTTGATATAGAATTTTCCAGTGATGTTATTGACCCTCCTGTTTGGTATAGAATTTTCCAGGGATGTTATTGACCCTCCTGTTTAATATAGAATTTTCCAAGGATGTTGTTTACCTCCCGTTTGATATCGAATTTTCAACGGATGTTGTTTACCTCCTGTTTGATATTGAATTTTCAGGGATGTTATTAACCCTCCTGTTTGATATAGAATTTTCAGGGATGTTATTGACCTCCTGTTTGATATAGAATTTTCAGGGATGTTATTGACCCCACCTTCTGTTTGATATAGAATTTTCCAGTGATGTTATTGACCCTCCTGTTTGATATAGAATTTTCAGGGATGTTATTGACCCCACCTCCTGTTTGATATAGAATTTTCCAGTGATGTTATTGACCCTCCTGTTTGGTATAGAATTTTCCAGGAATGTTATTTACCTCCCGTTTGATATAGAATTTTCCAGGAATATCTTTGACCCTCCTGTTTGATATAGAATTTTCAACGGATGTTGTTTACCTCCTGTTTGATATTGAATTTTCAGGAATGTTATTGACCTCCTGTTTGACATAGAATTTTCCAGGGATGTTATTGACCCCACCTCCTGTTTGATATAGAATTTTCCAGGAA